GATCTCCTAAAGATATTGCAGGAAATTGTCATATTTGGCACAAGGGCTCTCTCTAAATACACACAATAATACTTAGCATTATACAGAGCTTAACATCTTTGCTTTACAAACATTAGCTAATTCATGCATCTTTTTTTCAAATTAATTAACAGTAATAGATTTCACTGTGCTATTGACTACAGCCAATCACGTTTTAATGACTAGGTGAAATAGATTATATGTAATACTTGAATAATTTTTATGAGGTGCAGTGCATCAACATTTGGAAGCCTTATCTTGCATTACTGATGATCAGCATCAGGAACATACTGTAGAACTTGAGCTTGAGTGTGACAGGGTATACCAGGCACTTTGAGGTCCCCTGCTGGAGGCCTCGCGGTCCTATCACACCCCGCCCTAGAAAAGAAACAGTGAAGGTGAGTCCTCCAGTCCAGCCTAGAGAGGCTGCAGGGAAGCAGCCAATCAGACAACAGCAGGCTCAGTTAAAAGGAGCTGCAGGGCCTGAGCAGATCAGTTGCTGGCTGGGACCAGAAGGGTAAAGAGGAAGGGGTTATGTGGGAAGCGACCCAGGGAATAGCAGCAGCAATGGAGTTGAAGGAAGCAGCTTGTGGCTGCTATTTGTAGAGTGCCTGTGTTGGGATCCTGAGTAATGGGCAGACCCAGCCCCCGCCACTCTCCCAAGCCTCGAGAAGGGGACAAGTTTCATGTAGAAGCCCAAGCACAGGGCTGGAATTTAAAGGGCTCTAGGGCTGAAGACCATGCAGAGGGCCAATCATTTGTTGGACTTTGTTACCCCAAGAAGGGACTGAACTTGAAGGAGTGATTTGGCTGCAGAGATGGGGCAATAAAAACTGAAAAGGCAGAGTCTCCAGAGATGAAGCCCTGGGCGCATTGCTCTATACCAGGGCAGGTATGGATTTAAAGCTAGCCGAGAAGGGGCTGAGGACTGAGCCCAGAGACAGGCTAAAGACTAACAAGGGCACAGGGATAGGAAGGGATTTGTTTGTGCATAGAGACTGTGTGTGACTTGGCAGAGGCTGGGCCACTGAAGTCCCACCTGACAAGGTTAACAGCCCACAGGGGGTGTTGGAGTAGAGAAAGATAGATTGAGTGCAGGTTCACATGGAACCGACAGGACATGCTCACAAGAAATGAGTGCGTCCCATCACAGTGAGTTGTCATGATATGTCATGTTCCAGGAATGATTTGTTTAAGTCTATTCACTGTATTAGAAACATGATCATACATGCTGTCCCCTATGGGAATTTTGGCATTGAAACTTGGCTAGTGCTTAGGAGAAATGTACAATTACCCATTGTTAAGAGGTAATATCTTCCTATAGTATACAAAAATCACTTAATAAAACTCATTAGGATTAAAAATATGATAGAGAAGCTGTCAAACATTTGTAGAGTTCAGAGTGAAAAATTTGTGTTTCAGAAGTAGTAAACAAATTAAATATATATCCAGCAGCCCATTAACTGTCACCAATTCAGGAAAGCATCTTGATTCAGGAAAGCATCTTGATTCAGTGTACCACTTAAGCATGTTCTTAACTTTAAGCATGTGCCTGAGTCCCATTGATGTCAATGGGACTCAAATACACACTTAAAGTAAAGTATGACCATAGGTTCGGTCCTGACTAGGGACAGAGTAGAGCACATGCATAAGTTCTTTCCTGACACAAGGCCTTAAACAACTTTATGTTGGAGTAAAATGTTATTAACCTGAGTAAAATAGTTTACATCTTTTACTTCTGATTCTAATGAAGGGAGAGAGTGTGTGTGTGTGTGTGTATCGCTAATGTATATTTAGTTTAGTTTCATGTGACACCAGTACACTAGTTTAACCTACATGTCAGCATGATTATCCTTTAGTAGTTACAATTCATTATGTCCTGTGGACCAAATTCTGCTTTCAGCTATACCCTCTATCATTTATGGGGTTTGGATCTGTGCATGTTACTAGCTTTTAAGAATTCTAATTCAGATAATCTCTGTAATATGTTGTAGAACACATTATATATAAAATATTATTAATTTGCAAAAACAACAGATATGAGATACATAGATGCTTCAAGGAAACTCTAAGGGAAAAGTGGAGAAGAGTTTAATACTCAGAAAGGGAATATGATAACAATTGTACACCTCTACCTCGATATAACGCTGTCCTCGGGAGCCAAAAAATCTTACCGCGTTATAGGTGAAACTGCGTTATATTGAACTTGCTTTGATCCACCGTCGTGCACAGCCCCGCCCCCCCCGGAACACTGCTTTACCGTGTTATATCCGAATTCGTGTTATATCGGATCGTGTTATATCGAGGTAGCGATGTATTTGAAATGTACATTTGAAATAGGTTTGCGGGCATGTAACTTAAAGCAAAACTTGATTTTTGGATGTTTAAAATCTAATACCCAAAATAATTTTATAGTTTGTTTGTTACAAATCTTCCTTTATGAGTATTAAACTCTTCCCTATTTTTTGTGTCTAAAAATATGAAGGTTAATGTTTGTAAAATGCTTTGAGACCCTCAGCTAAAGGTGACAAGTACCATGGAGAAATTATTATTTTTCCCTCTCATGAAAATTTTAAATTGAAAATTAGATATTTGCACTGGCTATATTATCAGTGTGCACAGCTGTTTACGTAGGTTTAAACAAGTTATGGGACTTGAGTATATGCAAAAAACTATAACAATAATTGAATTTTTTGGTTGCTTTATTAGTATACTAGCAAAGGGTTTCACTTTAATTAATATTGTTTGAACTGCCAATAAAACTCAGATTGTTTGTCAAGTGTCTCTCGCATTGAAATTTTGTGATTAAAAAAATCAAAGCCACATTGATTCTGTTTATTGATTTAATAATATGTTGCCCTTACAGTATCTTAATTTTTTTTTCTCCACTTATTTTCTTTATACTGTTCTGTGGCTACATTTAAGTATTTTAATATTTCCCACCTAGACAAGGTCACCATTGATCACCTAGAAGTCGTATAAACTAAGAATCAGTTATCAATAATGCTAAACAGGAAAACAATGGAAAGAACATTCAAAACTGAACTTTTAAATGTCCTATCCATCCATTTAGGTTTGTATCCATATTCCTTAGTGAAGGAACAGAAGTTCGACACCATGTTGAGTCAAGCACAAGGGTTTATTACGCACAGCGATGGCGGAGTGTCACTTTGCTTATTAGGCTCAGTGAGACACTGCTAAACAATTGATTACAATAGATTATATAGGGTGCCAATGGGCGGAGAGAAGCGACGGGGTGGGAGTTCTCGAGCCCCTGCATAGGTTCTAACAGCAAGACAAGATTAGCATAATAAGCCAATAGTCTAAAAGATTACATAATAGCTCCGCCCATAGCTCAGGTCAACATGTTTGCTAATACACAGGTGTTATTCCTCAGAATTCTCCTCTTGCAATGTGTAAGTTAAATCCTGATTTCAGGTCCATAGCGATGATAGCAACTCTTTCCAGACAGGTTGGTCCACAGGTACATTTCTGGAGGGTTTAAAGCAAAAAGAACAGTAAACAGTACACAACCATACACAACTGTGTGTGATTCACCTTTGCATTTCTGCAAACTAGGATTGGCATCTGTGAGGGAGGATACATCTGTGAAAGGGAGGATACTATAACTCACGCTATCATGTTAGGCCTCTCCCTGAACTCTGGTTGGCATTTGGGGAGTATGTACCATTACCTTCTTCCTGAACCAGGGAGCAGACTTTAAGGCTCTTCTCAGTGAGTTGTGTGCCTGTACCTCCTGATAGGCCCCCCAATTACTGCTCTCCATCTGCGATTATGCTGACTCAGCTTATCTCATGTATAGCTGAAACAAACAAGGTTGTCTCCTGTTTATCCCAGCTTTCTTTTAGCCATGGTCAGGCTTGACAAAGCCCTGGCTGGGATGATTTAGTTGGTGTTGGTCCTGCTTTGAGCAGGGGGTTGGACTAGATGACCTCCTGAGGTCCCTTCCAACCCTGATATTCTATGATTCTATGTATTGACCATTGTTAACTAGGCCTCATGCCTCAGACCAAGCCATGGAATTTAGGCCTATGTGGAAGGTTCTTACAAAGACTGTGGTCAAGATCTTACATACGTATTATTGGGATTTTGGCCCTTCACTTAGCATATCATCCATCTGTAGAGGAATATCAAGTCATTAATGCAACAATGAGTTAGAGCAGTCACAGGCGCCCGCCTCTATTTTTCTAATGAGCAGTGGTGCGCAAACTAGGAGGCACACTCCTCTTGCGGGGCACAAGAGGTTCTTTGGGGAGGCACAAAGGAACTGGGATCCTGCAGGACTCGCTGCCATAATAGCAGGACTTGGATAAAAAATAGAGTGGGTATTGCAGGGTGGTACGGGAGCAGGATTAAAAAAAGATAGTCCTCCCGTGCCACAAACAACATGAATGTCCCGATCAGCAGCCGCACCTCTCCCATCACCCAGCTATGAAGGCAGCACTGCTGCCAGCAGAAGCAGCATTGCCACCCTTACTTCTGCTGGCCTTCAGAACAGGCGATGGGGGAGTGTGGGGACAAATTCTGTGAATAGTAAGGGTGGCACAACTCCAAAAGTTTGCACACTCACTTAGGAGTTCTTTTACAGCCTAATGCTGTAATAGCTCCCGATAAGGAAGTTTTTCACTATATCTAACCTTCCTTGATTCCATCCAATTACTCCAAATTACACCTAAATAATTCTCTTTTATCTTTTGGGCCAAATTCTTCCTTGGAAATTATTCTGGACATTCCCACTAACTTTGGTGGGAATTGCATTTGTATGTCCAAGAAAATAATTTAAATTGTGTTTGAATTTGGTTTTTTGTATGCTTCAGATATTTGTAGACTGCTAGCAAGTCTCCCCTCATTTTCTTGTAGCCTTTCTATCTACGTTAGCTGTTTTAATTTTTCCTTATAAGTCAATCCGTCACAGTCTCTGAACCTGTTGCATAGAAAAATATTGATGATTTTTATTTCAGGAAAAGAAGAAAGAATGGAGCTTCAAAAATATGTTTGGATTCTTTCTCAAAAAGCCTGGAGAAGGTACGTTATGCAGTTATTGATGGATTAGAAAGAACTCCTGCGCAAGACAAATTTACAATAGAAAACTAATACAATCATCCTAATTTTGTGTTAGATGTAGCAGACTTTCATCTTCCTGCATAAACACTCCCAGTAAATCTCTGATTGTAGGTTTCATACACTGAATGATGTAGATTAGTAATCTCTTGAATCAGCAGATTTGAAATTTGAGCTGCAAGCCAGCATGTATAAGTGTATTGAACTGGCTGGTGAGGGTCTGAGTGAAAACAGGACTTAGCAACAGTTTTCTCCCTGCTGCTAAATTATGAATTTGCTCTTTGTCAGATTGTTAGCCAACTTTATTTCAAAGTTATTTTTATGCTGTCTCATATAGCTAATAGGTTGGCTAGTGCCCAGACTCTGGCTGCCCTCCTTGGCATGGCAGCAGCAGCACAGAAGTAAGGGTGGCAATGGGGAGTTAAGTTTGCTGTGAAAAGTGACATTGACAAATATCAGTTTTCACATTGCCTCCCTTACTTCTGTGTTGCTGCTGACAGCGGCGCTGCCTTCAGAGCTGGGTGCCTGGCCAGCAGCCGCTGCTCTCTTCTCTGCCTTCAAAGCTGGGTGCCTGGCCAGCAACCGCTGCTCTCTTCTCTGCCTTCAGAGCTGGGTTGCTGTATGTGTACTTGGTGTGTCTGTGTGTAAATGACTGCAGACACAAAGAAAGGGGGCCCAATCAAATAGTTTGAGAACCACTGCTATAGAGGGCTCATGGAATAATTCCACGTTGAAGCTATAGCCTGAACCCTAACTCTTGCCAGTTCTCTTGGGAATGCGTGCCACTGGAGCACAGGTGAATGGAAAAGAGCATGGATGGTATGACACAAGCCATCACCACGGAAAATAATTCATGCCCTGATCTGATGATGGAGGAAAGTTTTACAGTGAGGGGAAAGGGCAAAGCCACCGGTGTAGTGATGCTGGTGGTTGTAGTCACACATCTGAATGTAGGTGGCTCACAACACCAATTATAAATGCTTCATGGAATATTAGGACTTTATGCAACAACCCTACCACCAGCCGACCTGAGAGAGGCACAGCAGTTGTAAGGAAACTGGCGAGGTATAGGATTGACAGTGCTGCACATGGTGAAACCAGACTCTCTGACAAAGGGCAACTCGCAGAGATCAGTGCAGGGTACATATTCTTCTCGTGAGGTCACCATCCTCAGAGCCACAACAATTGGGTGTTGGCTTTGCCATTAGCAACTCCAGTGCTTCCAAGTTCGAAAGTCTATCTAATGGCATAAGTGATAGTCTTATGGCTCTGTGGTTGGCATTGAAACATAAGTGGTATGTTACTATCATTAGCGCTTGTACTCCTATAATGACAAATGCCGACAATGAGAAAGAAAAGTTCTATAGTGATTTAGACAAACTTATTGTGTCTACATCAGTATCAAATTGATTATCATGGAGGACTTTAATACAAGGGTTGGCAGTAACATGGAAATCTGGCAGCCTGCCATTGGACAGTATGGCACTGGAAAAGAGAATAGCAATGGAACTCTGCTACTTAGTGACTGTTAAGTGGCAATTAGTGATCACAAATACGTTTTTCTACCGACCAGACAAAAAACAAAAACAAAAAGAGATCATGAATGCACTCAAGACCCAAACAATGGGATCTTATTGACTACCATCCATCCGTAAGATCTACAGGATGTACAAATCATTGCAGCCATGCGTAGGGCAGACTGCTGGACAGACCATTACCTGATCTGCTCCAAACTATTACTAGTAAGTCGACCAGTGTGTCATAAGTCATCTAAGCCAATCAGACTACTTAACATAAAGCGATTACAAGATGAAGCTACACAAGTGGAGCTCTGTAATAATATTACTGCAGCTTTGTCTGACTGTGCTGGCTTGGCTACTACTGCTAATGTAAACAGTGGGTGGGCTACTTTTCATGACATGGTACATCAAGCTGCTCTTGACAATTTGGGTATAGCAAAATGACATCATCGATTAGTTTGACAAGAGTGGTCCAGAAATTCAACAGCTACTCACTAAAAAACATGAGCTGCATCCTCAAATTGTTGCATCCCATGTCCCTGTAGGCAGTTATAATATACAAGAATCTGTGTCATGAGTAGGGATCCTAATTTTCCATGTTAAAAAAACAAAGTTCTCCAATTAAAAAAAAAAGAAAAGAATCTTCATTTTTTTGTGATTAAAATGAAACACTGAACTTTAGTTTCCCTAGCTACAATATATAAGGTATCAGTTAAACACAATATTTTATTGATATATTTACAATTTTTAAGCAAGTTTGAAGCCTACTAGTGCCATCAATCATTATAATAAAATTAATAGAATTGCAATGTATATTTGTCTGCATTCAAACATAATCTACAGCCTTGCTGTATATGGTATAGAACAGCACATTAACATCAATGTGAAATTTGTCCTTGCCAAACTCAGTCTTTAGGGGTGATTTTTAAAGTTTTCAGCATCTTTTCATAACTTTAATTACTCATGTCTGGAGGCTGAAGTGAAATTTGAGATGCATTAAATTCCTATATGCTATGGAATAACCTTTATACACTGGAAGCAGTTTATTGGCGTATGTTTAGCCATGTAAATTTAAATCACATTAAAAAATCAGCCACAAGAGGGGGAGGTTGCTCACACTGAATAAGTAACACTGGTACTTTCAGTAAAATTTAATTAATAGATGTTTTTATTTTTTCACAAAATGTAAAAATTAAAGATTCTATAAAAATGCAAATTCCACATTTTTCTGTGAGAAATGGATTTCTAGGATCCCTGCTCATGAGATCCAATCTAAGCTTAGAGACATACAGAATCAATGGTGGAATGCCAAGACATATGAAATCCAGGGCTATGCCGACCCTCTTGAGAACAAAGACTTTGTGCTGTTTTGAAGACATATATGTTCCTACACATACCACTACAATGCCTTTGAAGAGTGTGGACAGCCTAACACTTAAGCAAGTTCTTAAATAAACTTCTGAATCAGGACTTGAGTTAGCTGTTTCATGCAGCCTTTCATGTCATATCACAGTCATATCTGATTTATAATACTGTGTGTATATCCTTCATAATTTCATAACATAACAGTAGGACACTGTGCCTATGCTTTCTTTTTGCAAAGTTATATTGTAAAAGTATTACAACATTTTGACCTTTTATTACATGAACACACCTCACTGGAAGACACATCTGGAAATAGTTTGTTATTAACTGTATTGTATTTTAATTATATGAATTATAAATTACATATTTGGGGTATTTTTAGATGCACATTTTTAAAGAAGTAGTTACATGTTCACCTGGCTGGTGTACATCAGGTGCATGCAGAGTTGTGCCTTTAAAAATCTGTTCTGTAACTGCTTCGTGTTAGAGAAATTTGCAGAGACATAGGGTCATATATTATTTTATATTCAAAATAACAATTTGTTAACATTTGATGACTGTGGTTGTGGTGCAAAGATTTATTTCCTTGTCAAGGCAGTGGACTCAGGCTTTTACTTACAGCAGGAGGGCTGCTTTAATGCTTGTCCCAGATAGTTATTTCATTCATCTAATTCATTCTGAACTGTCTTCTTCTTTTTTTCTTCCAATAGTGTGATCTTTACTACTACTACCGTATTCTAGCCATTAGCTATTCAGTGTGAGATAGACCTTCACTGTTTCACTTTTTCATGAGAATAATTATTTTTCCTACTGTCAAGGCTATTATGAGCCATTTTGTCAATGGTGAGGGTGTATTAATTTGGAAGGACAAGGAATAGTAATAATATCTTGATCATGGGACATTTATTTCTAAGGCTGTGGAGAGGTTATTAAATATTTCTGGCCAAAAAAGTCAGTTCAGAATATGAAAATCTTATGTGTGCAATACTAGCTCTTTGCTGATGTTCAGAGAATTGTAATCCTTCGCAGACATTTCTTCATCCAATCATTCTGATTTTGAGGGTGACTTCGACAGTCTTAGTTTGTATTAGGGGATGTTTGCATGGATTCATAGACCAGTTTGGGAAGAACAATGTTTACCACACTGACCACAGAGCCATTGCCTGGTTGTGTTGACAACTGCATGTTGTTTCTGTACCTGGTGCTGTGCTTCCAACTGTGCAATATCTTCTCAGAGTTGTGGACACCCATCCTTACAGCATGGTGCCATGTTATGTGGTCAGCTGCCAGTTGCTCGAAGGGTTGGGGGTTCTGGGGGGGCAGGAAGTGGGAGGGGCAGGGGCGGGGCTAGGGCGGGGCTCCTCCCGTCCTCTTTTTTGCTTGCTGAAATATGGTAACCCTAGACAAAAAGACCCTTGTAGCCCAGAGCCCCTACACTGGCCCCTCTGGAGGGGAAGCCCCAACTGCTCTTTTTTTAACTACAAAGCAGGAAGACAGAAAAAACATAGGCCGGGGAAGGGCTGCCAATGAAGAGTGAGAGGAAGAAATAAGATAATCCAATCACCTTCTGCACTCAACTGGACATGTGGATGTCTCACTGAAATCAATAGGAGCTCTATGTACATATCTGGGTACAGAATTGAGTCCATCATGTCTAGTGAACATTGACACATGGTTATTTAACATGGAAGTTGTTTTCACTTTCTCTTCCTGGAGCTACAAATGTTATTTCTTGAAAGGGTACTAGTTACTTTAATGAAACCACAAATTAGTATTTATATAGTGTTTTACATAGTTTAGGAAGACTATAGCTTATTGCAGTCAAAATCTGTATTATTTTAAAGGAAAATAAAGAATCTGATTATAAAATGTTTTATAACATTTATTTATTTTTTAGACAAAACGGGAGAATCCGAACAAAACCAGCCTGCGGAGGAACCCCTTCCAGAACAAATTAATGAAAAAAAAGGAACATAAAGAGATGATTTCAAATGTCATGTCATGTTGTGCTATAGAGGTACGAAAGATGTTAATACTTAATTTTCCCCTTACATTCTTCCTTTCTGATTTGCAAAATGAGCTGGATTGAAATGATTGACTTTAAGATTTTTTTAAAAACAATAGAAACTAAAGATTAAACATCCCTGATATTGAAAATGTCTCATTAATGTGCTGGAATATAAGGCCCATGCCTGCACTATAAACGTACACTGGTATAACTAAGTCGCTGAAGGGTGTGAAAAATCCAACCCCCAAGTGACGCAGTTATACTGACCTTACCCCACTCTCAGGAGATGGATTAACTATGCCTATGGGAGAAGCTGTCCCATCAGCATAGTAGCATCTTCACTGAAGCACTACAGCGGCACAGCTGCACTGCTGCAGCGTTTTAAGTGTAGACCTGCCCTAAGACTCTGGCATTTGTCCAAGGATCAAATGAAAATGTTCCTTTATTCCTAAATTGATTTGGGACCCAAATTTTTTGAATGCAGTTTTTTAATTTCACAGTAAATTTATAGATTTTGAAGCCAAAAGAGACCATGATAGTCTAGTCTGACCACCTGCATAACATCATAGAACGTCACCCCACCCATAACTTGTGGCTGAGCAAGTACATACCTTTTAGAAAGCCATCCAGTCTCGATGTAAAGATTCCAAGTGGGGGAAATGTTACTGAATTCCTTAGTAAGATGTTCCACTACTTAATTATCCTCCCTGTTAAAAATATCTTCTTTCCAGTTTGAACTTTTTTGACTAAATGAAGGAAATATATTTTGCCTAATAAATATAATACTTTACTTTGTACCATAAATGTAATAACTATGTGATATAAAATCATGGTGTTTGATCCATATTATTATTGCTGAAATTACTGCTTCAGGGCATGGATTTCCCCTACCCTTTTCTTGAGGATACCATCATATCTGGTAGCATCTATTGATTCAGCGTGTCTAGTATCCTGTTTGCAATGCTGTTCCTGAGGATGGGAAGGTGAAACAGCCATAACTGTGCTACAATCATCTCACAGTAGCTGCTGGACACTGGGCTGATCCTCAGGGCTGGCCAAGTTCTCCTGGACACAGAACCTGAATGGGAGCCTGAGGGTGGCTTTATGCTGTCTGTGGGTTTTCAGGAGGAGTTTAAGGTACAGGTTTTAATCTATAGAGCCCTAAATGGCTTAGCGCATATTGACCAAAGAAACCACCATCCCAGCATGCCATGCATTTGTGTGGTAAATCAGTAAAGGTGCTTGAGCTGATGCAAGAGGCCTCAGGGCTTAGGAATCTCCCTTGGTTTATAGTAGCACAGAGGTAGGGTATGCTGCAAAGCTAGTCTTTGATCTTTTTTGAAAAAAGCCGGAGGAGAATTGTGTGAGTGGTGAATTATTGGAGAGGGATGGTGATTTGAAGTTTTAAGTTGTCTAGCTTGCTGGTTATGGGATATACTGAATAGGACTGCTGCTATTTAAGGATACTGAAGTGTTATTTTAGAGGTGGGGTCTCTAATTTATGGGAAGGACTCCTAGAGTATATGACAGCTCAAGTGCCTCTGCTGAAATCCACTATGATAGTGTGGGGTGGGTTTTTCAGGTAGGTACATCCTAAACCATTAGCTTAAATTCCATGGGAAAAACCACAGGCAGCATAAAGCCACCTTTTTAGTTTGTGTATAAATGCAAATACATTAATAAATAACTCTTAAAAGTGAAACTCGTAAGCAGATGTGGGGGGAGGAGAGAAGGGAATGGAGATAAGCAAACCTGATTTAAACATTAAGTAGTTAGTCCTGATTGAGTGATCATAATAGTGCATCTCTATATAACTAGTAAAGCTCGCTACAGTGCTTGCAAATTCATATGGCCAGTGAGGGAGACAGTGTTGTCTAGTGATAACAGTATTGGACTGGGAGTCTAGGGACATAGAGTTCTACTACTGATTCAGCCACGGACTTGTTATGTGAACCTGGGTACGTGTGCCTCACTTGTGTGTAAAAAGACAGTAATAATGATACCTACTTTTGTATATTATTTTTAAATCCTTGAATGAAGGAGCTTATATAGGTGCCAATGAGTTTTATTTATCTGTCAATGAACTCTATCTCAGATCAGGATTGAGCTTTGAATGTCCAACTGTTTTAGATTGGGATTTTAGTAGGGTTTAGATTGGGATTTTAGTAGGTAAAGTGGCGAACTCTTCAGTGATAGTTTTTGTTTGCACACTTTCATATACATTTTGTTAGTCTCCTAACCTGCAATTTATAGTGTGATGCACTGTTCCAGAGCCCCACTGACTTCAGTGGGGCTCTGTGTATATGTAGCCATTTGCTTGTCTACTGTCACCTATAGGACCAGAGTCTTAGGCCCCAATCCTGCAAAGACTTTTGTGCCTGTTTAATTTTATGCACTGTGAAGAGTCCAACTGAAGTCAATGGGACTGTTCACAATGCATAAAGTTAAGCACGTTAGCAAGATTGAGGCTTTAGATTGTAAATTGTTGTTTGTAGGGATTGTGTCATTCTATGTGTCTATACAACATGTATCATATTTTGGGGGACTTCAGTAATAACAACAAACAACAGTCATCTATGTTTTGACATTATCTTTTCATTTCTCTGTTTCAGGATTTTAATGTTGCAGGCCAGGATGTAGTTTGCAACTCATGAAATATCATGTTTACTACAGGGGACTATCTTCCACACCATCAGTTAAGACAGTTCCTCATAAAGAAACAAACAATAAATTCCTCCATCTTTCTTGCACAATTAGAAGTGTAAACCTTTAGTGAGTGGTTATGTGATCTTTACTCATTCATTGGGTATGTATACATGCTTCCCATTAAGCCTTGGCTAGTACATTTGAGAATGAAGGAGTTTAATTAGTGACTGCCAAGTACTGTAATCTTTACTATCCATGTTGTTGATGATTAATTCTTTTTGTAATTTTCTGATGAGTTATTTCTCTGTTTGTGCCTAATCAGCAGGCATACTGTGAAATATAATTGCACTTGCAAGAAAATTACTGTCTCATGAGATGAATACGTTTGATGATTAAATTAGGTAGAATAAAGTAATAACAGTCACATACTCAAGCAGAATGACATGCGGATTCTTTGCTGTGGTTTGATGACCTTTATAAAAACAGAATAGCATTTTAGAAATAATCCAATCTATTTCAAGTCAGTCCCAACATAACAAGGAAATGTAAAGAATCCTCTATCAGCTATATGCTTTTGGAAAATGAAGGAATTTCCCCTTAGTTAAATTAAAAATACCAGCCTTGATTTGAGGTCAACATGACATAAATCACTGAGGTAGCAAAAAATTCTCAAACCTGATAAGAAAACATATTTGCTGCTAAATTTAATTACTAAACTTGATCAGAAATGTGCTTACAGCTTAGCATTCATATCAGCAAGAGACAGACTTCTGTGCAAACAAAATGAAATATCTGTTGTTTCCTGCATATAAAATAAATCCTTTCCTACCCACATTTCCCCTAATGATAAGCACCAGTTTTTAGCCATATCTTTGCACAATGTAGTATACATGAATTCGGAACTGTTCTTCCATGAAATACAAATGTTTGATGTAGGGCCAGCACAATTCTGATTGAGAACTAACATGCAGGAGATGAAAGATTTGGAACAACGTAGGTAATATTACTCCTTGAGCTGTCTGTGACTAAGGCCCTGATTCAGGACAGTACTTCAGCAAATGCTCATGTGCTGTCGTGAACCATGCTTTCCTGAATCAGGGCCTATATGCTTGGTGTTTGGAGAACAGAGTGAGAGAGCATGTATTATGTATTCACACCCAGAAGGAAACACCAAATTTATGGCATCCTTGAATCTCAGATTTGTTTCTGGTGTGATGGGATGTACAAACTCTGCACTAGAATTGAAGGGGTTAAAGAGCAACTCCAGGCCCAGACGACCCCATCCAGCCACACCTCCAGAACATGTTCCAGCTGGAGGTGGAGCTAAACAGCTCAGAAAGAGGCTGACAAGGAAGGGAGAAGGAGCTTCCCTGAGAACTCCTGGGCAAGGGTGCTGCAAAAACCATCTCCTGGAGGAGAGGATCCTACCTGCTGAGCCCAGATGGACTGAAGGTTCAATCAGCACCTTGTTCTGTTACTGTTTTGGGACAAAATGCAGGACTTGGACAACAGCGTGAGTGGTAGGAAGTGGCCTGGGGACAGCCTTAAGGTGCTCCTGGGTACTGGACATTTAGTAACCTTTACAGGGCCCTGGGCTGGAGCCTGATTGAGTGTGAGGGTCCAGGCTCCCCTACCAACCCTCTCCCCAAGTCTCATTAAAAAGGGCCCAAAGCCCCTTACATTCTAGACTCTACCCTGGTGGGGAGGAGGGAAAGGATAAATGTCTTTTGAAACCCATAGCTGGGGTTGTATTCTTGGGGGGGAGTCAATAACCAAGCCTCTATCTTCCCAGGTACTCTGCCACACTGGGAAGAGATAGGATTGAGTGGATAACCCGACCAGAGGGTTGACTCCATTCCAAACAAAGACAAAGACAGACTGACACCAGATGTGAATATGATCCAGGGGGAAGACTAGGAATGTGGCGACTAAAGGTCCGACCCCCCTAGCTACTAGCCAGGGCTTCCAGTGAGCACCTGGCCATCACACTGGGATTCTAATGGAAGGAGAGAGTATCCGTGCAATACTGAGGGCTGTGAACTGCCAGTTTATGTCCAAAGGGCAGTTCAAACTCCAGAGTGAAAACCCTACGATGGCTAGGCTGCTGGTGTGCTGAGACTACTGCCCATCATGCTGACCCAATATTGTCATCTTGTTCCCTGTCAGTCTGTTTGTATCCATATATTGTAAGCTCTTTGGACTGTCTTTCTCTTCTGTGTCTGTACAACTGCTAGCATAATGGGGTTGTGGTCCATGACTGGGGCTCCTTGGCATTACGATAATACGCATAATACATAATAGTAGAGTAGTGCTTGCACTAATTAATTCTCTTCCCAAGAAGTAAGACAGGAAATGAAAAAGAGGTCTTTGTAGGGTATTGGTTTGGTTTGGCAACCTTTGATGCAGGAATTATGGTGGTAAGAGCTGTTGCTTTGAATTAGATATCCATGGCTGCATACATGTATCATTCATATGAGGAAGAACAGAAGCTAATCCACCCCCCATTCTGTGGAGAATCATTTTGGTGAAAAGGCTGAGGTCAGTGTACAGAGTTAAAGGAAATCAAGGCCCACTTTGTTCACTGTATTCCACAAACTCTTCTACTATAGAGAGGCTAAGGTGAAAGTGCTAGCCCTAAGGGACCTTACGCTAGTGGAGGCTCACCATAGCGGAACAGAATTCCACCTCAACATCCTCCCTCCCTCAGCACCCTCTACACTGCAATCAGGAGAGCTGGGGGCAGGAAATGTTTCTGCCAGCATTCCTCCAGTGAAGAGTTCGCCTCCTTTATGGAAATTCTTTGCTGGTGAGTTATGGTTAGAATCTGGTTCCTTTGTGTAGCTCAGGTGATGGGAAAGGGCTGGAGTGTAATGCAAAATCTAGCCTTCCACTCACCCACATGCCAAACCAAACTGTGCTCATTACATTGATTTTTGTTCATCCTGTCAGATAGCTCTTGTGTGTTTGTTTCAACAGTGTGTTTATGGGAATTTTTGCTTGCTGTGTTGTCAGGAACTTACTGGATGGTTGTAAGGGGGACCCTGACAATTGGAATGGAGGGATTTGGGTGTGGGCTCAACTACCAGTACTACAGAGGTCCTAAAAGCTAGGAAAATTCTTGGACATTGTGCTTCCAACATAAGGGGCCAAGAGTCGGAGTCATTTGATGCTGTCTTTACAGAAGAGTTATTACAGGTAAGCAATTTTCTTTTCTAATAAGCTGAAATGTAATTTGAATGTAGAAAAACAGTACTAACTTTGGGATACACAATGCAGCATAAAGTACAGCTGTTGGTCTAATTAAGTTTGTTTCCCATTATAGCATAATAAAAATAGCTCTGAAACGACAAGCTAGTGCAACTCTGAACTGCATAGCCTCCTTAAGCAGCTGTCAGACCTTGCATCTTTGGCATGAAGTATAGGACAGTTCCCATTCTAACTTGTGAAATTTGTATTTCTGTAGCTTTTACCAGGTTTAACCTTCATAAACTCAGATGGCTTAAGAAAATGGAATAGAGGGTAATATCTCATGTTCTAGACAAATTTCTTTAAATCACAAGATCACCTCGTGCCTCAGCAAATTAAAAAAACTCAAATTACAAGAACAAATTAACTTAAGGAAAAGAAAGGTACAGATGACATAACTACAGAGCACTGAACAGGAAAGCATTGTTGTGTAGCTTCTGGATGCCAAGTATATGTTTAACACAAGATCTTGCATGGAAAAGCTGAACCTGCAGTTTTTTGGTAAGGATCCGTTTATCGGGAGGGTGAGAGAAACTGGGTACGCTATTGACATATTGACTGAAGTAATGTAAACAATGAGATGTTGGTCTTAATGCTATCAAAGATGAGAAGAGCTCTCAAGTTGCAGGTAACAGAGAGATGAACAAGATATTTACTAATTATGCAGAGTTTATTTGACCCAGATGTGAGATCTTTTTTTTTTTAAAAGAGCAATCTCACTTGATACTGGTAGCTAGTGTTTGATATGGTTGAATAAGGCCAAGATACCAGCATGGAGGATATTATATTTTGGGTATGTTTAATGTGATTTAAACATTTTACACATGTACCCAGCCACGTTAGAAACAGAACACATTAGCTATAAATAAAAACCTCATGAAAACCAGATTTACTTAACATTTAAAATGAGTGTAAAAAGATACGATTAGGGCTAGCACGGTCACCTTCCCAGAGTTCCCATAAAGTGTCAAACATCCTTGAAAAACAGGTTTAACCTAGTGCCACTGCTGGCACTGCTAGATTTGTCAAGAGATGTTGGAGTGGGGCTCAGGATCCCCAAACTCTTCTGCAGAGGCCATTGTCAGAAGCTAGCATGGCAGAAAGGAAGGCAGTACATGCCATGCCTTGTTTCAGAGTACAGCAATGGCTGCATGGTCCTCTCCCTGACAATGCTACTGTGCATCTCTGTGAAACATCAAGGCAGTTGAATTCCTCTGGAACGATGTCAAGGAGAAAGTGCATGAGAATTGGAGATAACTTGTTCTTAGCTGAAAGGAATCCAGCTGGGTCCAGCATTCCAACAGAAGCCTGAGAAAGACAACCCAATATCTATCTTAACGCTGTCCATTTTTCAGATATTGGATGCTAATCCTAGATTCAGAGCCAAGGGTATGTCATTTGACAAAACATGAAAGACAGGCTAGGACCAGTGGTGTGCAGAGTGAAGGGGTGAAGAGATAGAATTACTCCTTTTTGAGAAATGGGCCAGAGGCTCAGCTGGTGTAAATTGGTGCAGCACCAAATAAGTCAATGCAACTAGGCCAATTTACACCAGCTGAGGATCTGGCCGCATAACTCTGCATTTCCAATGTTCAGGCCTTTACTCGTTTTAGGGCGATCTTAACTTAGAGTGTTTTTGGATTTCAAATGTTTTATTTTTAAAGAAGTTATAACTCTAATTAGAGATAGGTCCAAGCCAGGCCATTTGATCTGAGCATCACTGAACTTTTGTAGGGGAGGGGTGCTAGATCACAGATTCAAACTATAATGGATGGTTCCATTCTCTACGACTGGCTAAACCAAAACTCTGGAACCAAACACTCCTGCCATTTGGGAGTTTTCAAACTCTGGATCTGAATTTCGTAGCTCTGGCTCATCTATTGATCTGAAAGGTTTGGATTATTTTCCTTATATTATTGATACAAGTTTAGTGTTAATCCCAGTTTAGCAAAATCTTTTGTCTAGGGCTGAGACCCTTGAGTCCTGATTCCCAGTCCTGTTAAATAATCAGTAGATCACAACAAAGATAGACTTTGTTTTCTTTCCTGATTCATATGAATTACATCTGTTCCTTGCCATTATAGCCAGGGCCGGTGCAAGGATATTTTGCACCCTAGGCGAAACTTCCACCTTGCGCCCCCCGCCACAAAATAAATCACATACATTATACACAATACACTGTCACAGAATAACATGTTATAATTTAGAATTTATGTTTCCGCACTTTAAGTTTAGCAAATTTAGAAACAAGTTCCTCCAAGTCAATGCTGTGAGCAATGTCATGTTCTATTGACAAGATAGATAGCCCAACAAGTCTTTATTGCAACATAGATGTTCGCATGTATGTTTTTATCAACTTGAGCTTCGAGAAGCTTCGCTCACCACTGGCCACAGAAACTGGGAGAGTCAAGAGGATGTGAAGAGCAATAACTGTGTTAGGGACACTATCTGTCAGCTTATTTTCCCATATGAAGTTCAATACATCTTGCGGTGATCAACTCCTTTGGACTCATCTTGCAATAGCGTGCAATTCGCTGCACAAGTCAAAGGCATCAATATCTTTGGATTCACCATGTTGCAAAGCTTGCTCCAGATTCAAACAATGTTCCATAATTTGCTTTGGTGTTTTATTTTGCAAACTGTGAACATCATATATGAAGCCAAATACTGAACTAATTTGCTGCATCAATGTGAATCTTTCTTCAACTGAATGTATTGCTGTGTCATTGACTGCAAAGTAAAAGTTCATTTTGAATTTTTCTTTCGGATTATAAATAGGTTTGTCATCTGCTTCATATGTGAACTGCTTCCTCTTCTTTCTAATATGGATTGGATCTGGTTCAAAAAGTGTCGGTACATCAAACTCCTCCGCAAGTTCACCTGCATCTACCAATGTTTTCTCAAAGGCTGCGTCACTTCTGCAGCCCACAAGAAACTTCTTCGTTTCTCCAAGTTGATTAATGGCATCACATATGTCGAATTCTTTTGCCTGATGTTGTTTGCTAGTCATGTTGATCTCAAACAATATGTCATACCACAAAACAAGAGAAACAAAAAACTAGAAATGGCTTTTGTAAGAGCCTTTGCATCAACTCGTGACATATTGCCAGATGATCGTGTTAGAGTAGTGTCTTCATAGATGTCTATCAGAGCATCATAGATGTCACTAAGCTGATAGCGAAGAGGTTTCAAGGCATCGATTTGACTTTCCCATCTTGTTTCACTCAATGGTTTAACTGTGAGATTAGATACGTGGCGTGTTAGAACTTCCCAGCGATGTGTAGAAGCTAATACACACACATACGTTGAACTAAATCAAAGAAGGCGGTTGCCTCCAAGCAACACTTTGCAGCATCATTAACAACCAAATTCAATGAACGTGCACTGCAAGGAATGAAAAAGGCTCGTGGATTAATATCCAAATTCTTCGCTGGACACCATTTTCTTTCCCTTTCATATTGCTCCCATTGTCGTAGCCTCGACCACACAAGTTTTCTATAGGCAATGACATCTCTTCTAACTGGTGAAGAATAGTTTCTGTCATACCAGCTCCAGTTGTCTCCATAAGCGACACAAATCCCAAGAAGTGTTCCTTTATGCATACTGATTCAGTCTCATTCTCCGTCTCTGAAGTAGGCCTATCCACAAATTGAATGATCATGGTCATTTGTTCAACGTGACCTGCATCTGGTGTACAATCTAGAATGATCGAAAAGTATTTTGCAGCACGAGCAGATGCTAGGATTTTTTGTTTGATGGCATTGGATAGAAGCTGAATAAGCTCATTCTGTATGTCTTTCCCTAAGTATTGTACATGCATCTCCTGGTCCTTAATCCTGCGAAGATGCTCATCCATAAGCGGGTCAAACAAAGCTAGATATTCAACAAATTTGAGGAAGTTCCCATTTTTTCATGTGTTCCCCGAAAGGCCAGGTTTTGCATACCAAGAATTCTGACCAAAGCAATCAGACGTTTTAGTATTTGCTGCCAATACTTTTCTTCTTGCTTAATCAAGCACAAATGTTCTTCATCAATTGTTCTCTTGTATTTCAATCACAGTTCAAGTTCCTTCCATGTTTGAACATTCGTCCAAATGTTCACTGCTTTTCTCGTGCCATGAAAGAATTGCAGACATGTTTTTCCAATCCCTTGAGCCTTTTTCAGAAAGAGATGATGTGCCAATAGTACTACTGCCAAACAACTTGCAGCAGAAGCAAAAGACAGAATCACTTGTTGTGGAATACTGCAGCCACTGATGGTGCATTTCTTCTCCATTAACAAGTCTACGTTTGTAATGAATTGTCGAGAATTTTCTTTGCTTACTATCTTTGGGAAAATCGAACTGCTGAACTTGTTCCGGCCCATGTTCCACCAGAATTTGTCAGACTTGATCATCGCATTTGGCCCAAGTAGCAGGATCACTAAAGCTCAAATTCAAACGAGTGACATTTTAGCTTTCACGGTCTTCCAAGTTTTGATCTTCGCGTGTCTCATTTGATTCATCTTCAATATTCAGATTATGTTCTTCAAACTCTTCTTCAACTTGTGAAACGCTCATCCCCACCTCCATCTCTGCTTGATCCTTTGGCATTGAACTACCTTCATCTCTGGCCAGTGGATGGAGATATTTCAGAAACGAACTTTCTTTCTTTCTTTCTTCTTTTTGCTTATCAGCCTTCTGCTTACGAAATTGTGCCCCAGACAATTTTTTTTTATCTGCCATGAGGCTGCATCAACTGAAAACGAAAAAAAATGAAATTTTATTCCTATCAGTTCTTTTTCTTGTTCACTATTAAAAGTAAAGGATAGAGAATACATGTCACTTACTATAAGGCACTATTTGAATTTCATCAACTGTTTGACATAAATATTAATTAAGAGATCAAGATGACTTTCCCTTAAAATTAAGCAATGTTGATTGTAATCAGATATACACCCTTTTTAGTCACGTATACTTACTTCCTTCATATCAAAATCTGACTGGGAATGCTGCAGAACCTATTCTGTCCAACCAGCCATGCACCTCCAAATGATTAAAAACATCAAATGGTACAAACTCAATTTGAATGAAAAGTTCCATTTTCTAACTAAATAGGTCACACACTCTCAAATGGTTGCCAAGTGCTCTCTGTGGTGGTATGCTCATCTGCTCTAAATGCCTACTAACTTCCCTGTGAGAATAATCTTTGACTTTGATCCAATGAAAGCAGGATGGAAAAGCCCCCCCCAGAAGACCTAAGACATGATGGCTGGATGACATAAACAGACACCTGTCCCTCACGGGCACTACCTCATAACATGCCAATTTTGTTCAGGACAGAACATCATAGAGGAATATTATGCATTCAGTGGTCTCTACTCTGGCCAAGCAACAGCATGACCACTAACCTAACCTAACCTAACGAGAGCATCCAACTTTTTTGACTGCTTCTTGGGCACTGGTGAGGGGTAGCGGTGCCAGACTGAGCCTGGTGACAGGAGTGCACTACAAGTCTACAAACCGAGGCGAGGTGCTGGGCCTAGAGTCCTGCTGAGACTTCAGTCCTGCGCCAAGTGGAGCACAGCCTCCATGAGGAGAGAACTCAAACAAATATCACGCTCCTTCTGCGTGATTCCCCAAAGCACTTCTTCAGGCAGCTGCTATGGGGGTCACTCACAGGCTTAGGCCTGCCTGTTGCAGGCATAACACAGCAGCAGGGCTTAAAACCCAGATACCGGGCATGACAGAGGCTGGGGCAGGGAGAGGGAGGCACTGGGGCAGCTCAGCTCTGCAGGCTGCCATCCTCTCCAGCCAATCATGCACAAGGAGAGCAGGAGCACGGACCAGCCACGGACCAAGGGGAGCAGGAGCACAGACGCCCGAGGTCGAGCTGTGGGGAAGCGCTTACCTTGCCCAACGCACGGGTGTTGGGGTCCTCTTTCTTCCTCCACCAGACTGCCGCCCAAGGCTCTTTTGTTCTCCGTGCCCCCTACTGGGGCTGACTGTGGAGGCTGAGGCAGGAGGCAGCTGCCCGTTTCCTTGCGCGAAGCCCTGCTGTTGCGCCCGTCGCCGGGCTCGTGCCACGTGAGTGCTAAGCGGAGCTGCAGAGCTCTGCCCAGCCGCCGGCACCCCCAACGGCAATGTCAATAATTGCATGGAGCGGCCGCTGCGCTGGGAGAGGGAGTCTGAGCCGCACATGTCAGCACGCCGCTGGCAGCCCAGCCCAGGAACGCTGTAAAAAAAAAAAATTGGGGGCACCATTTTTTGGTGCCCCCAAATCTCGGTGCCCTAGACAACCACCTACTTTGCCTTAATGGTAGCACCGGCCCTGATTATAGCTACTATAGAACTTGGATCCTTTTTTTTAATACATGTAGTTTAAAGACAAACTGATTATAACAAAGATAACAATGGGAAGGGAGGAGCATCTTTTGATATAAAAATATTGAAGAATTTCCAAATATGAGTTTAAAGAATATTTTTTAATAATAAACATTAAGCTCCTACCAAGCAAGCTACAGGAGAACGCTCGTTCTTTCTGAGCTGTGATGTTAATAAGCTATTGTCACTCAAGGCGCATAAGTGGACATTGAGTTATGAGACACTGCTTTATTTGATAAATGACATTTCCAACTAGTATTTAAAAAATCAATTTCTACATAGTAGTTGTCATGTTTCACCTTATATTTGAACTGAAGTGCGTGGATGCTATGGTGAAACTCATGAGAATGCAGATTATCAATCATTTTAACCTTCTTCACAATTTTTTAAACTCCCAGTTTAGCAAATATTGAAGATAGTGGCAGATAAGACCGTAAGGATTAGGTGGAAAATGTGAAACACGTTAGCTGATCTTTACATATAAACTCTGTTGTTGCAAGCCCCACACACCTTTGAGCTGCAAAAGAAAGTCATAGATTCTTGTGGAAATAAGAAAAAAGTCTCTCTCTCTCTCTCTCACACTCACACTCACACTCACACACACACACCCCTCTTTTGGAATATCCTCTGTGGCAGTTGCTAATAAATTCTGGACTATAATAAGTAACATAAAACACTTTGAATGAAAACAACTGTAGATACAGGTTGATTTATTTATTTATTTTATAGTTGCTGTATCTATTTTTGAGCAGTGAGTGCATTTGGAGAAGAAGGGACCCAATCATCTGAATGCTCAGCTCCCAGTGGCTTTGTGGAGGTGCTCATCCTCTTACAGGACTGGAATCAAAGGGGAAATTTAGTTTAGGAAGGGAAGGAATTTTGCTTTGTCATCATTTAGACTGTAGATAGCCTTATTAATCTTTGAAGCCACGAGATATTTAAAATATACCGTAGTATTGCTTATGAAAGCCCAACAATTGTAAGATAGCGAAAATACATGTTCCTTTTACAAGTGGTAAATATATGGGCATAAGTAGGCCAAAGAGCTAGCTATGAATATGACAAGATACTTCTTGTTAATGAAAAAATAGGACTAAAACTATCCTTTGCTGAGCTATATCTGGACTCATTCTGAAAATTAAGCTTCAACTTTCATGTGAGTGTCACCTTAAATTGATCTCTAGGCTTTTCCAATCAATCTTCACACATTAGATTGCTAATTCTGAGTTATAACATCCATTTGACAGTCTACACTATGGATTAAGTGTGAAATCATGCAAATACAAGTCACAAATCACAAAAGAAGAGGTTAGCCTCTGGCATGCTTAGCTGACATCTCTTGAGAAATTTCTCAGAAACTGCTTATAGTATAGATCTTTGCCAAGATCGAAGTGCAAGATAGCAAATCCCTCTGGTCCAGCCTAACCCTTTCTACCTTAGTGCAATAATTGCCAGCAGGTCAGGAAAATTTGGTTTCTAGGGGAAATAATTTATTGAAACACCTTCAAGTGATTTCCAAAATGGAATTTGGAATTATGACTCTCTGGCTTATTAAAGTATTGATAGTTGTGATATTGACTTGCATCTAGGAAGTTTTACGTTATATTGCTAAATAACACTATAATATATAGAAGTAAAGGACAGACAAAACAGAAATTTGCTGTTTTGGTTGCAAAACAGCTTTGTTTGAACTATTGATTTCCCCCCAGAATGAAAACACAGCGGTCCAGATGCTCAGCTGCTGAAAATCAGTGCAGCTCCATTGTCTTCAGTGGAGCTATATGTCAGTATACCAGTTGAGTATGAGGTGTTTTAAATAAATAATACAAATACATCCTAAGTAAGCTTCCATTTTACATTGTGCTGTCAGCCTAAAGTATCCTGAAAGTCTTCACATACTGAGGGCGAATGCCTACCCTGTGGTGCACTAGTGCGCAAGGCTGGGCAAACGGGAAAAGGGAGCCCTTCCCACTGCACACACAGCCCGGCAGCTCCCTCCATAGTTCACAGGAATTGTGCTTGGTTAAAATGCTGGAGGATGCACCATGTCCCCAGGCTGTGCCTTGCCAAAACTGGCCTCAGGTGCAGGAATTCACTGGCAGATGGTTGGATATGCTCATCTCCCTTGCTCAGAGAAGCAGCAGAAGATTCCAGCCTGTGGATTCTTGTCTTCCACCCAGAACTGACCTTGGATTCACCTTTGAAAGAAGTGTTTGCTGCCCATCCTTGCACAAAAACTAATGGTAACTGATTCCTTTTCACCAGAGTCCTACTGCTATACACAGGGCTGGCCTAAGGATTTTAAGGAGGGTGGGAGAGATGATGCGTTGGAATACATATCAAACGTAGTAACTCATTTTTGTTACAAATGTGTGTCTTCCCAGCTTTCTGCTGCAGAAATGGAGCCCAGTTACTTTCCCCTTTCAGTCATAGGGATCAATTCATGTCAGTGTATATTTATTTATTATTATTATTTAGGGCTGTCTTCACTTACTTTAAAAAAAAATAACAAAGGGAGGGGACCACAGCTTCTGCTGTCACAAGTC